GGGCCGGGGGGGGGGGCCTGGCTCCCAGGGGGATCTGTCTGGCAGAGGGACCCTGGTAGGACTCCTGCAGGAGCCAAACTGCCAGGAAAGCAAGGAAGGCTAAGGGGGGACGAGGAGGCACAGGACAGCCACTCAGCAATCAGAGGACCCCGACCTTCAGGTGTTCATACCAGCATCTTGCATTGCTCAGCAGCCTGTTCTTCTTGCCCGCCCATATTTCTATGGTGCGTGGATGGAGCTTGGCTTTCTATACTGTTTCCCAGTGGGCATGACATGGTGAATTTTGTAGCATTTCCTATTCTGAGTGTGTCTCCTCATACCACTGACATGTACCTTAGCAATATAATACTTGAAACCCACCTGTGACATGGATATATCTGTAAACCTCTCTGTGTCAACCACAGAACTTTGCTGGATACTGAGACTATCAAGAGAAATAACACATTTTTTGGACTCAGACTGCCTTTTGTTTTGGGCTGAGTTGACATTAACAGGGTGCTTGCTATTGCCGTACCAAACAGGAGCCAACAGTTTGCAGTAGGGCTGGAATTCACAGGGTCAGGAAAGAAAAAAACCCGCCAACCCTTCATTTACATCCTCCTTCTGTCTTACTTCGTGCCTGTGGACTATTCATCCGGGTCATGTGGATGCATTTAGTGTTGAATCAAATGCTGCAGAGATGGGTGTGCACGGTCCCATCTTCGTTCTCACAGTTTACAGCACTGCCATTTGTAGTTTGCTTCATAAATGCTCGGCACAAAGGTAATTCAAACTGCCTTTCAAACAGCTCGGAAGGAACAGCAGCACTTGCTTTTCAAAGCAGACAAATAGCTTCATTCCTCCAACCAAACCAGCGCTCGGGCTGCCACAAGGCAGGAGTTCATGCGTGTCGGTGCAGGGTTCAGGGTGGCCTTCACTGCCAGAGCACTTCTGCTGTGGTTCTCTACAGACTCCTCATGTTTTGGTATTTATTGCTAGTAGACAAGCCCATACATGGGGGGAGCCATAGCACAGCATGGTGAACCAGTATTTCTCACACCTTTGCTTTACTGTTTTGGGGTGAAAAACTCTAAAACAAATCTTCAGTTCACTTCCATCAAGTTTTGGTTGGAACAAGTACTCTGTTCTTCCTTTTCCTTAAAATGTTAATGAAATATGGATTTTCTGTCTCTCAGTTGGATCCAGCATTGGAAGAGTGAATGCCAGAGACAAGGACTGGCCATCCAGTGTCATCACTTATTCCATTGTAGCTGGAGGAGGCAGCAGGGATTACATAAATATCTTCTGGATCAGCCCAACCAAAGGAGATGTGAAGATTTTAGCTAGATTAGACTATGAAACAACTCAGAAACACATTCTCACAGTACGGGCCTCAGACCAAGAGAAGACTGCAACAGCATCTGTGAGTAAATCCACTCTACTTCTCCCCCTTTATCTACATTTTTCTCTCTTCTTCCTGACAGGAATGGTAAGACATTAAGCAAAGCACTTTGATCTGTAAAAGGCAAGTCCACCCCTGCACAGAGCTTTATATTAGTCAGATGAAAGAGGTGGTGTTCACTCAGCCTTGCTTTATTTCTTAGAAAAAAGAATTAAAGTAATATTTTTTGTATTTTTAACTCTGTGGATTTGGTTTCTCAGTCTTCTTATTTCACCCGGGCAATGAAATTGTTTTCTGTGCCCTAGACAATTTAAGATATTCTTTTTGGCTACATATGTACTGGCAAATAGAAAAAGGAAAGGGTCTTGAGGCCAGGTAGCACAACCTAATTTTAGCCATTCTTAGTGCCAAGTCCTTTTTGGACCTCATGTAGTGCCCCTTGGCCCTCAAACATACTTTTGATTTTGTACGTGACGTTTTTTCACTGCAAAGTGCCCAAAGTAATGTGAGAATTTTAATGTTGCAGCCCATCAGTGTTGTGTTCTCATAGGTTGGGACAGAGGAGATGTGCTGCATACCTTGGGGATGGGATGAGGGCTTGGGCACCCTCTTGGGATAATGTCAGAAGGCCCACCCAGTATAGCTGTGTCCACATGGCCTACTGGGGATGGACCCTTACACGTGCCTTCCCCTGACCGTAATCTAGTTTTGTCCCCGATGGTGCTATCTGGCAGGAGCCAAGAGCATGTGAGGGACCGTGATAACATTAGACAGTAGGGTTTTGCTCCAGTTTGCTGCCCAGACCTATTTTATTCAGAAGAAAAAATATAGACGGTATATCTACAAAGGTATTTTAGAGTCACTTCTTTCAAAGAATCCCAGTGTCCTTCACATACAGACTCTTTTTTACTCCTTTTCATGTCTTCTCCCTCGTGACTGCCTTACATTAGATTTTTGCACATCTCTTGTGGGGGATACAGGTACTAGGCCTGCTTTCTATTCCAGCCAAGCACCACCCATGGAGATTCTAGGTGGGAGGTAATTTCTTTATCAACTATAATATTTCAAGGTGATGATTAAGGAAAATTTAGCATCAGAAGCTTGTAACAATGACAAGTTTATCTGTTGTATGTTAAAGACTAACGGACATTAGAGGAAAGAGCTTTGAGAAGGATAAACTTTTTCTCTCAGCCAGCTAATGCCAGCTGACATTAAACACATCTGGCGCTACCTGGGGTGCTCCCGGCCATGCAGAAGGCCGTTACCAGCATTTCTCTCTCACTGGGAACAATCAGTCTATAAGGAGTCTTCCTTCCTTCCTTGGATCATGCTCTGCATTATTTTTAAATATGCTAAGAAACCTAACTAATGACAATGAAGCAATTTGAGAGGTTTGAAATGAAGTTAAATGAATACGTGGTACTATTATTATTTCTCATTCTTACCATGACACACTTCAGGTAATTCAAATAGTCGGACACATCAGATCAAAACCCCCGCAGTTTTGGAAGATGGTTCAGGTTAAGGAACCTGTTCCCAGAAGAGTGCTGATCACAAGAAGAATTGAAGGTCAAATGATCACAGATGTTTTCTGGTAGAAACTAGATTGGAAGGGAGGTTCATTGCTCTTCAACTGCTGTTGATCGAAAGAGCAAAATGGGCAAAACCAAACAGTTTTTGAAGTTAATAACATTCTGGCTCAGCACAGTGGAGGAGCTTCAGCTTGCTATCGCTCTTTTCTTTCAGGTAACTGTCAACGTTTTGGAAGTAAATGATGAAGAACCAGTTTGTTCACCCAATTTCTATTCATTTCAAATCCCAGTCAGCTTAGCTGTTGGGACCAATATTAATGGCTTCAGGATTGAATGTCAAGATCGTGATTCTGATCCCAGGTCTTTCCGTTACTTCATTAATGAAGGTACTGTGTCATGGTATGTGAACTGGGAGCAATGCAAAAATTGGCGAATGCTGAGGGTTTGCTTTGATGCATAAAGAAAAGTCTTGCACAGTTTATGTGCTATGTCTCATGGAGGGCTAGTTGTGATCCACAAGTTTCATACATCATTACTTTGCTGCTTACCAAAAGAGAGGTCTCTCCACAGGCTGACTACTGGTGCTACCGCCTAGAACCATTCCCTTGCAAGACTGGATTGCCTACCGTGTTAATTAATAGGCAATTAATTGCATATTGAGAAGGACTTCAGAAGAATGAGCTGGAATGATATGCAGGGTCAAATTTCACTTCCAATTACAGCTGAGTAAATATTGAGAAAGGATGGTGGGTTCTGTTACTCTGCATACCTCACCTTTAGTTGCTGGTACACCGTTCAAAACAACTGAGCAAACCTGCATGTCCTAGGTCCATGCTGTATGCATTAAAACCCCATTTTAAGACCGTGTGTTTGAACGAGTAATCAGCTGCATTCACTCGGAGAACTTCTATGGTATGGGATGACGCTCAGCTTCGCAAAAAGGGGAATGTACCCTCTTGGGGGAATTTATTTTTTTGTTGCTGAGGTGACTACTGAGAAGGAGGGAGCAGATTGTCCAGGTGCCAGTAAAAAGCTGTGAGCATAAAAAGACAGAACCTCTGTCCTATTGCAGCCCCTTAATGCTGCAGAGGACCTCTGCAGCAGTGGTATTTACACATGAGCCCACACAAAGGCTGTGTTTGTATCAGTAAATCAGGGTCTGGCCACAGGTGCAGTATTTGCCCACACTGCTAAAGCATTGTTTGGTTGCTGGCATGATTTTGGTCTGTGCCAAGCAGTACATTCCCAAAGAGATCCTGGGCATTGCTGATGGACCCAGGACCTTGCCCGTCAGGCGCTCTGTATGGGCTGACCAGGGTTAAGGCTCAGGGGTTTGGCTGTTCGGACATCAGCTGTGCCATGCAGTTGGCCTCTGAGCCACAAAGCAGCCCATGGCCCATTTTGTGTTGTGCGATAGACATGGCCTTCAAGGTCACCTCAACTCTGGAGCTCTATGGGGCAACGAGCAGAACCAAAGCACATGTGCTGCCTTTTCATGGCTTTGATCTCTCCTGTGTGTGGTCTGCTTGGAGCCTAAGAGCTGGAGCTCATCTACCGGCAGCACAGGCCACTAGCAGATCTCCAGTTACATGGACAGAAACTGGGGGGCTGAGAGGCCAGCATCACTGAACTCCTCTCTGCCCCCACAGTGCAGGCGAAGTCCTGGAGGCAACTAATGTCCCCTGAGTCATTAGGTCTCTTCTGGGGGACCTCTTCAAAGGCCTCTGCCGTTGGGCAGAGGTAGAAGCCATAGAGAGGGGCTGGAGGGGCCTCTGGAGACACTGGTGGGGTCCATGTGGCCTAAGGGCCACTCCAGGGACACCCCAGTAGCAGGAAGAGGCCAGCAATAGCACGGGGTCCTCACCCTGGCTGGGTCCTGCTGCTTCTGGGTGCTCTCTAGGCTGTAAGGACAGGTCATTCGGGTGACCTCTTGTGTGCCCTATGGCTCTGAAGTGTTTCCACAGCCTCCTCTCAGCTGTGTCCCCATAGAGGGTCTTATTCCATATTTTAATGCTTTTATGACTATATTGTTTTATCTGATTTTATATGATAAGGGAGATCAAGGAGCCGTTCTTATCAATGGTATGTCACTGCACAGACGTATAGTGATCCATAACAAGTTGTCAATAGAAACTGATCTTTTTGTTTGTTCCAACCATTACTTTAATGTGGGATTGCTTTTCTCTTTTATTCCTTGGGGTTTCTTTGGCATTGGTTTGGTGTTTTGCTACTGCTTGCAGGCAATGTGAACAATCATTTCACCTTTTCACCAAGTGCTGGCTCCAACACATCTCGGCTGATTCTTGCATCGAGGTTTGACTATGAGAGTGGACTTGATACAAACTGGATTTACAGACTGCGCGTCTATATAACAGATGACAATTTACTATCTGCCAGGGACAAAGCTACATACCTTATTAAAACTGGAACAGTGACTTTAAGCATCAGAGTTATCCCAAACCCAACTACTGTCATTGCCACAACGGTAAGTTCACTGAAATTTATGTCCACTCTGTGGTTCTTCCATGGGCTAATCTCCATAGGAGTGAAGAAAAGAGGGTAGATGTATGCAAAAGGGAAGGAAAAACCTACAGTGGGTCCAGGCCTGGGAAGTGTTGAGCCCCATGCTCTTACACTGAAGCCAAAGGTGGTTGGTATGCTCAGCATCATGAAGAATTGGTCCCAGTTACAGAGTCATAACATATGTTTTGTGTTTTAGTTTCTAAAACAAAAAGGGCAAGTAGCCAAAGGACTGGGCACGCTGCCTTTACCATGTAACTGGAAAGTTAAAGATTTTGGCAGCTTTATTAATAAGGAAAGAGCAGGGGTTAACCTTTGCCTGGAACCTTAAAATTACCTCATGCTTTTTTCACTACCCCTTTTTTTACTCATAGCTATTCACTCCCCCAGCTGCCTTGCACTTCTATGTGTTGCTTTAGCAGTGGGACACATTAATCTGTGGCTACCAAAGTTGTAGTAGGCGGCAACAACAACAACAAGAAATCCTCATCACTTGGAAGGGGCTTTTTTCCATCCCTGAGGTCACCCTCATGTAAAACTTCGAGCTGCCTGTCAGGAATTGAAGCAGTTGTGCACGGCCTCAGCGTGTCACTGAGGTTTCAGACAGCAAAGCCAGAGGGGTGGGATGGGTCTTTCCTGAGCTCCCTGCCCGCATGGTGGTCCATAGCTGAGCCAGGGAAGCCTGCACAGCTTTCAGCAGCCCGGGTGGGGTCTGGCCTCCACAGTCTGTGGAGCTGTGGGCCTGTGTCCCAGCAATACAATCTACCCCTCTGCACAGCCATCCCAGGCAAGCTCTGGCTCGCCGGTTTCATTTTGGAGCTGATTTCCATCAGGCTGGTGCAGGACGTTAGGAGAGATTGCTTTTGTCCTGCCTGCAGAAGTGGCACAGTCTGAGGGTACAGACCACTCTGTCCCCATCCTTGTGCCAGTTGCTGCCTTCATCCCTTGCTGCACCATCTCTCCGTCATCCAGAGTCCATCCATTTTCTGCCAGCCTGCAGATGGCATTACCCTGTTCTCCCTCGTGTGCAGGAATGAAAATATGAGGATGCTGGTGAAGGGGTAAAAGAGCTATTCACTGTAAAATGGTCTGGATCTGCTAGGGACTACTGGAAACTGAGCCAGAACCAGGGGATCCTGCAAACAGCAGGATGCTTTGCTATGAAAATGCTGAAATCCAAACTTGCAGACTGATTAATAACCCTGTTATTATTGAATGCTCTGTTGGGAAGGAATAAATGGTTTTCTCATAGCCTTCTCCTCCCCCTACTTGATGTGGAAACAAAAAGTTAAGCTGAATAACAAAACTTATTCTGTATTTCTTTCCCATGCTTTACCACAAATACAAACAGTCTAGGCCACATACCACAGCGTTAAATCTGCCTCTCCAGAAATATAAGCCTTCCACTTTCAGTCTATTTTACAGAAGAGCATTTCCATTACAGCAACTTCTCTCATCACTACTCCTTACATGTGTTCAGTGCAGCAACTTGATGAATCAGATGCTGGAAGGCTGGTAGTGTAGAAAAGAAGCCCCGTCACAAAAAGTCACTTGTGACTTCAGTGCCAGTGAGGATGGAGTGGTGGTGGTGGTGATCTTGAGATTATCTGAGAATTTCTCTAAGGATTGGATGTACCTTTTTTTGAAAGGCTAAATAAGTTATTTTAAATGTATCCTTAAACAGGAAAAAAATAGATACCCTACTAAATTTGATACACAGTGTCTTACAGAAAATTAAATAAAAACTTCAGTAGACAATCAAAACTAATAGTACCACGCTAGATAATGATCCAGGTAGAGCAGACGAGTAATTTCTGATCCATGTGAAGGTAGTTTCATGATGGGACCTTAATGAATGAGTTGCTAACACCAAGTGCCATGCCAGCTCAGAACAGTGTCTCCTGGCACTCAGGAAGATGTGGGAGATCACAACTGCTCAGGAAGTGTGTTTTTTCCCTTCTGGAACAAGTCACAGGGTAAAAAAAAAAGGAGTTTCATGTTTTCTTATACAATAACCCAAATTCCTCGGGGTTCAACTCCTCTTACGAAGGGGGCCGAATGATCACTGCAGTGAAGATGACCTACTTCCAGTTTTGCCTTAAGTAACAAGAAACCATTATCTCAGTAATGGCAGTATTCCCTGAACTTGCTCACCCTCCAACAGTTCACACGCAGCTTCTCAGGCAACCCGAGGCTTTTAAACCCCACCATGGCATGCTTGTTTTAATATAAGACATTGAAACATGATCTGGAACCTCCTTTTTGCATTGTGGGTGGGCTCCATTTCGCCTGCCTTTCGATGCCCCAGGAGCTCAGTGGTCCATCTCAGTCATCCGAACTGCCTTGGCAGTCAGCAGGCAGGTACGTGGGATGAATCACTGTCTCCAGTAGACGCTATCTCCCTCTGCCCATCATCTGCAGAGCCCTGGGGCAAGCTTGGGCCAGGTGCTTCAGTGCAGATGTTCAACCAGATGAAAGGTGCCATTGGTGTCAGTAACCTTACAAGTATGCAGCCTTGAGGAACTTTTCCTATCTTGTTTTAAAAGCCTGGCTTCACTGTCGTGACGAAAAGGGAAAACCTCTACTCTGAATCGGCGTGGTACGTGCCGTTTGTCATCACCCTTGGCAGTTTGCTGCTCCTCGGACTGCTGGGGTACCTGGGGTTCCTGCTGGCGACGTGGGTCCACACCCGCTGCCCTCCGGCAGGCAAAGCAGACAGCGTGCCTCTGTGAGTCCTCCCAAATGTCACGCTGGGGAAGTACCCAGCAACACCTGGCAATGACAGAGACAACTCAGGCCTTTCAGCCATAATGAAATCTATCCTTTGAATATTTTATAGTGGTATGCCCTTCTCTGTAGTAAATGCTATTACTGACTACAGTGATATTTGGTGTTAATGATATGAAATCAAGGAAGAATGTCCATGGCATTATTTTTCATGGATTTACTAACATTAGCATTAGCTGAAGGTAATAGTGGAATTAACAATTGTGACCTCTAAAGGCACCTATGTTCGTGAGGTGCAGTCAGAGTCTGTGCCTGACTGCGCTGACCAAAATACACACATTTTTGGTTTGTATTTGGCTCCCACTCCAAGGGAGCTCCCATCTAGGTAGTTACGGGATGCATTTTCCTCCCTCTCAGCTATGGATCCCAGAGTCCTTTCCAAACCTTGGTGCTCATGCCAAACTCTTTGTTCTGGCAACACTTCTGCAGATTTCCTGGAGTTTTACCCAAGCCCACTGCGAGGCTCTGGCCCATAAATCTTCGTGGTACCTCTAAGTGCTCGTGCTTGGCAAAAGCCACGGAAGCACCTGGGACCGGCTCTGGTTCATTGTGGGAAGGGGCAGAGATCCCCACTGGCTGCCTTCTCAGTGGGCTGGAGCCAGACTGCCTCTAAATTGACTTTTTACTTCACAAAACAAAGATAAGTAGCTCTTTAAGTGGACTGGAATTAAAAAAAAAAGGATTTCTGTGAGTATTACCAGGATTTGGACCTAAATTCAGAAATTATAGTAAATGTAAAGAGGTAATATATGACTGTGATTATAATTCAAATGGTGTGTGCAAGGAATTTAGCAATTTGTGATAAAAATGACAAATGAATCTAGCAGCATATAGCCTGGCTATTGTTATTATTTATTAATAGGGCAAATGATTCATCGGGAGCCAGGCTTTCCCATTAAAAAACAATTTCTGTATTTTCAAAAACATTTACTACCTTTCAAATATTTTAAAAGGTAATATCTGAGCACATCAGATCCAAAAAATTGACCTTCCTCCAAGGATGGAACAAAATGACAATATTTGAAAATATATTGTTCCAGATTATATAAATTCATCATGCTATCATCAATAAGACACTATTTTTTTGATATCAGCCCTTCTTGGAGGGTTGTTAGAGCAATGCTCAGGGCTGTTTTCCTGTTTGAGAGCAGCATTAAATGATGCAGGACCTCAGTGAAAGCAAAACCAGAAACCAAACAAATCAAGCAAATCCCAGAACTCAAGGAAACACATCCTTCTTGCCAAATGAAAGAGAACAAAGCATGATATTTTTATGTAGGCAAAAGTATGACATTTGTTAACTACGCTCTTAATCTGTTTTTCATTACAGGATAAATGCTCCAGGTGTGTACCTCTTTTCTGTATTTTAATACTTCATAACAAGACCTTGTTTATGATTCAGTGTAAAATATGTAAATCCATTTCTAGACAAATAGATTTGACCCCGTACAAGAGTACTGAGATTATATAACCCTGGCTGATTATGGGAGGCCTGCCTAAGTGATTTCATGGTCCTTTTGGTCTTCAAATCTATTAACTATTAGGTAAAAACCAAATTCAGAGCAGCCTGGTATTCTGGCATGGATGCTAAAGAATTATTGTATTATTTTTCACATGCAATTCATATGCTATCTGTTAAAAAATAATCCCATCCCTCTACAGCACCTGCAAGAGCCCTCTCCACTCTAATGCCCTGTTCTCTGATCCCTTCATTTGCTTCCTTGACACCATTACTTCATGTACCTGAAGATTTATTTTAAAGTATTGGTGTTTTAAAAGGGGGATTGTATAACTTAGCAGGGGTATAAGTTGCACATAAAAAAAAAAGTGGTTTTTTAAGCAGTCTTGTTCCTTTTAGTCCCATTAGCTTTCTGCTAGCAAGCATGGCTCATATGGGCTCAGTAAGACCCTGCTTTTATAACTTCCTCTCCTCAATCAGTATCTCCCAGCTTGAAAAAAACATGACTAACAAAACCCAACAAAATTAGCTGTTCTCTTGGTTGCCCAATTTGAGACATTTCAGCATTGGCTGGTTTCCAAGAAACGGATGCTTGATGCTTTCTGAAAAACTGGTTCCCAAATGCTGGGCAGCAAAGGCCAGACAGAACAGGTTTCCCACCAGTGCTCAGGTTGAGACCCATCTGCAGCACTTCAGAGTATTGCATGCCTGGTTGTAAAGCCCATTGGTAGCCAGGCATACAGTTCTCCAAAGAAAGGCCATTAAACAAATTGGCAAGGAGCGAGCAAGAAGAAATCATAGCAACTAGTTGGGTATCATCCACAAATACATGCTGTCGAGATGCCCATGGCACTGCTGCTGTATTTGTTTGCATGTGGGATGAGTTAATAGTGTGGTAAATTCACACATAACCAAACTGTTCTTCAATCTGAATTTTACTTGACTGGATCTGCAGCACTTCCCTGTTTTGTCTCCAAGCGCATGTTTGAGTGCACAAGCTTTGCGACTACAAACATTCATGGAAAAAAAAAAATCTACTACATTTGTAGTTCAAATATCCCCAAAGGTGAATTTCTATATCTGTTCATATTATTTAGAAAGGCAAATTTGTTAAAGAAACCATTGTTATTTATTGATTACTGAAGGAATAAGACTTTTCAAGGCTAAACTTTTGATTAGTCATTGGCAACTGTGGATTATCACTCCAAAATACTATGAAGGAGTTTGTGTTTCAAACAGTATGAGGGATCAGCCTTTGAAAAGAAATAAGGCTCATTTGAGATGTCTCAGAAGTTGAGTACCAAGAATGTCTATTTGTTTGAGGAAATGTTGGCTTTAGTGTCTATAGTCACTGTCAGAAAAATCTGATTCTTTACAATGTGCATTTTCCTTTCTGTAGAAAAGAAGAAACCTAAGAAAGAAGTGGTTGTGGTAAGTACTGCCAGCCTCAAAACAAAACCCAGTTTTGCCTAGCCCCATCATGCAATATGATCGTAGGACCCTTTCTATGAAAGGTGTCTGTTTTCCAAAGAGAATATAAAAATGATAGGCGAGGAAAACAGGATTGCCCCCAAACACAAAACATTTCAGTGCCCCATCTGGCCTCTGTATTTGGAGGCAACACTGGGTGTGAGGGGTGCTCACCCGCGCTGTGGCCCCTTTGCTTCCAAGTGCCGATTTCTCCAGCCTCTCTGGCAGCCCCGTATGTGGGAGGCCAGAGAGGCTGTGCCTGGAGCAGTGACAAAAAGACTTGCTGCAGCCGCAGAGGCAGGATGACAAGTGCCCCAGCTTCACTGATGTCAATGTTGCACTGCTGAGACACCACTGACCTGTGCAGCTAACCCTGACCCGCCTGAGTGCAACCAGTAAGGTATACAAGTTCACCCAAGCTGTAAAGAGTTTGGTCTTGATAAGCTGTTTGCAGGAAAATGCTGTAGTTATTTCCACTGTAATAGATGTTTCTTTGCTCCTAGATCTTGGGGCTTGTTCCTTTTTCATAGCCATAGTAGCATAAAGGCTGCAAGGCACTTTTCATTAGCGTACTCTCCCTCCCCAAGTTCGTCAGACAGGGGATTCCCAAGCCTCCTCTGGGCGGAGGTGACCCTCTTGTGGTTACACATGTGGAGGCATTTAGCATGTCAGACCTTATTAATTCTCCTTTGAACATCTAGTGGCAACATCCTACACCACAAATGGCTTTTGTTGTCACTTTTGATTAAACCTAGCCTACAGGAATGCAATATGCAGGTCATACAAATCCACCTCCATCCATGTAGGTCACCGTTTCCAAGTCACTGCTCCTCCTTCTTACTTAACTAATTCACAGGATTCATTTCACATTTTGTCTCTCTTCACAGACAATGACAAAGTTAAACACTGTCTTTGATGGAGAAGCCAGAGACCCAGGTAATAAACAGTGGATATGAATATTTGGCTGGAAACAAACTGGATTAGTTAATTTAAATATGGTTCGACATTTGCTTTTCATATTTCAGATCTGCTGTTTCCAAGGAGAATGGGAGCTATATTTCACAGATAGTGAAAATCAAGACAGTGCCCTAGTAACATTTCTAATGGTAGAATATACTTATGGCCCTTGAAAGCACACATCTGATGGCCAGATTATTCACTACTCCTCTGTTAAACCTGAATGTATGTATCTGGTATAGGAAGGTGGCAGGGAGGAGGAATTTGCTGCAAGCCTCCTGGTCTGGTGCTGTCATGGCTACGTGGTTTCACCCTTCCCATGTCTGGGAAACGGCTGGCAGATTAATGTAGCTGCAGATGTACTGACTTCGTCTCTTAAACCTCTCCCTGGATGCAGGACGGGTGGGTGGGATACTCATTCTTGCCCAAACCTCCTCCTTTGCGGCAACAGTGCATTGCTGCTGTTTATCTAAGGCTTGGGCATCACTTGTTGGGGAGGAAAGGGAAGACCATTTGCTTTTAGATACAGTTGTAGTGGCATCAGCTGCTGAGTGAGTCACCAGGCTCCAGCTATGCTAAATCTGAGCATATCTGATTAACCAGCTGGGAAAAGTGAAATTAAGGTGAAAGCTAGGAAAACCAGGATGACCCAGGAGGTGTAGTGCTTATCCCCTTCCCCAGGTGATGGCCACTGTGCTCTGCAGTAGGGTTCATTACAGAAAAATGTTTTTTTTCTAAGGGTTCATCCGCCTTACCTCATCCCCCTGAACCACAGCCCCTGCCTGAGCCTCGTGCCGTGATGCTTGGCCTGGCATCAGGGTGCCCAGCCCTGCATCTAATGGCTGAGGGTCCCAGCATGGAGAGGGGGGGCTGGTAAAATGTGACAGTTAGTTAAAATAAGTCTTTAACAAATACATCCGAAAATAGGTCTGAAAAAATAGGTCTAAAAATTATCCAGAAGAAGGCAGGCTTGTTTCAAGGCTTGGATTCATCTGGCCAAATTTCCACCCAAGTGCCTGTACCTTGTGTTTCTTATTAGCTGGCTCAGAGCTGTCGGATGCCGTCAGCTAATGCGAAACACTAGGCATGGGGACTTCAGTAGAATTTGGGCAAACAAATGGGACCCTACTGCGCAATTAAGCCCATCCACAAGGCTGCTCAAGGCCAGTTTAGTCCAGGTCCAAGCCCACCTGCTATTTATAAAGAGATCTGGAGGAATGGGCTCCAAAGTCCCTGCTTTCTCCCTGTGTAACTGCATTTGTAATATATTAAACATGGATGTTCTCTAGGCCACTGCAAAAGCTGCTTCCCAGTGTTTTTGCAGGACAGCTGGTGGCTCCCTTGCTCAGCAAACCTGACCACACCAGACTTAAGGGTATCTGAGCCCATCCAAACTGCCTGCCAGAGCCATAGCGTTTGTGTCATGCCTGACACAAACATTAAGCTATAACACAGCTTTGTCATGTCAGCAGAGAAATGTGTGCTTTCCACTCGTCCCCTCTCCCCTCCATGGCTCATCCCAAACCCTAGAGGATCAAGTGCTGGCGGTTTGGAAATGACATTTAATAATTCCCAGGACATCACCTGTTGAGGGATGGTCAGGAGCTGCTTCCTGATCTGGGCTGCTTTAACAAGCAGTCAGGAAAAATAACATGTAAAGAGATCCAGTTTCATCTTTAATTGCTCAAATTGTGTTAATGTGTCAGAAACCATTAATTCCGACACAAACTGTAACATGTAGTAACATGTAACGACCATTTCTTTCCGGCCCTTAATGGTCTTTTGTTTGTCTCATATTAATAATGTTTAATTACCAGAAGTGCCACTATAGCTCCTGATTCTCTGTCTGTTTAGCAAGAGACAGTGATTTAGACTGTGAGGCAATCACACTGGACCCATGGCAATTTTTCCACCTATCTCTAGACAGTAAATGAACTGAAGGAGCAGATGCTTGCTTTTAATGTACAAAATCTTTCTCACAAGGAAAGGTAGCCATGTGTGCTAAACAACCCAAATTTAACAATATTTTATATGTATGAGGGAAGCATGTACTTGTACAAATGGAAAATACATAATATTTCACTCTATTAATGACAATGTGCACAGCAAGCCTGGAGGAAAGTATTTTGTGCAAATGGAGAAGCAATGCATACAGCCAAAACTCACTGGGGATCCCAGATCTCCAAATCTTGGGTCAACCTAGACGACCTGACATGGTCTGGAAGATGTATGTAGCATATTGTGCTCCTAGCAGGTTTTGCCACGTCAGGTAGGCAACTCTAGTTGAAAAAATAGGCACAAACATATATAATGGCCTTGCTCAGCATGGCCAAAGGCAAAAGTTTTGGGAGAGTTAGTCCTAACAGCTAAGGACTATGGATGCGTTTGTTACACTGCCCACGTTAACCCATGGTAGCCGTAACTTGGATAGAGGTATAGGACGATGAGAAGGTCCTTTTTTTGGAATAGGAATGTTATGAATATTCCTATTCCCCGAACTGCAGAGCCAGTTTTTATACTGATAGAATAACATCTCCCCTGAGTGGCCACCACGACACCCAGGTCCCCACACTTGCTTGTGGAAATGAGGCTTTCCCTTTCGGGGCTACCTCCCCAACTCAGCTGATTTTCCAGGTGCTTCACGTTTCTCATTTCAACCCCACCCTGAGGAGAACTGTCATGT